TTGAGGTTACTGTGAGCTATGATGCCACAGTACTCTACCATGGTCGACAAAGGGAGAACCATTTTATGAAAAAAAAAAAAAAAAAAAAAGAAGAGAGAGAGAAAGCTAGAAAGATATAAGTATTCACCTTTCCTGAATGTATTAACTACTCAGCAGGACAGATAAAAAATAGCTATAGGAAAAAAATACTTTAAGAACCACTGACAGAAGTCATTAATCCCCTTTTCTTTCTTTATTAAGATTCCAAACCAAAATAAGGAAACACAAATACTCCTGGATCTGCTTCCTGACAGAATCGGGCATGGAACATTTCTCAACTCCTGTGATCTGGTGGACTTTGTGAGGCAACATCAAATACCACTGGGTAAGGCTTAAGGTTTCAGGTCTCTAAGACACTCCTTTCCCCCTACTCCAGTCCCATGTTGCAGCCTATTATGTAGAGAGTATTGTTCTAAAACTACAAATGTAATTTTAAAAGATGCATTACTTTCTGAGTCTTATAGAGTTGTTACTTTGTTAAGTAACAGAGTTTTAGCTCCCATTAAAATATAAGCTCAATGAGAGCAGGGCTCCCGCCTGTGTTGTTCATTGCTTGCTACACTCTCCAGTGTTTGGGACTGAGTAAGGTTTTTTTTTTTCAGACAGAGTCTCACTTTGTCACCCTTTGTAAAGTGCCATGGTGTCACAGCTCACAGCAACCTCAAACTCTTGGGCTTAAGCGATTCTCTTGCCTCAGCCTCCCAAGTAGGGTCTAGAGGCACCTGCCACAACGCCCAGCTACTTTTTAGAGATGGAGTATCACTCTTGCTCAGACTGGTCTTGAACTTATGAGCTCAGGGAGTCCACCCACCTCAACCACCCAGAGTGCTAGTATTATAGGTGTAAGCCACTGGGCCTGGCTTTGTTCTTTGTTTTCTTTTTTTTGAGATAGGCCTAGGCTGGAGTGCAGTGGTAACAATCATAGCTCAATCACATAACCTAAACTCCTGGACTTCTAGGCTTGAGTGATTCTGCTGCTTCACTCTTTCAAGTAACTGGGACTATAGGCATCCACCACCATGCCTGGTTAAATTTTTTAATGTTTTTGTAGAGATAGGTCTCACTATGTTATCTGGACTGGTCTTAAACTCCTAAGCTCAAGCAGTCCTCCAACCTTGACCTTGGAAAGTGCTGAGGTTATAGGCATGAGCCACTGTGCCCTGTGTATTTTGTGAAAGAATAGGGTCATCTAGAATTTTAAAATTACTTTAACAAAATTGATACTTTTTTTTTTGAGACAGAGTCTCACTGTGTCACCCGGGGTAGAGTGCTGTGGCGTCACAGCTTACAACAACCTCTGACTCTTGGGCTTAAGAGATTCTCTTGCCTCAGTCTCCCAAGTAGCTGGGACCACAGGCACCCGCCACAATGCTCGGCTATTTTTTTGTCGTCATTGTTGTTTGGCAGGCCCGGGCTGGGTTTGAACCTGCCAGCTCCAGTGTATGTGACTAGTATGTATACTGATATGTATTATGAAAATATGTAACATTTATTTAAAAATTAAGAATTATAGGGCGGCGCCTGTGGCTCAAAGGAGTAGGGTGCCGGCCCCATATGCCGGAGGTGGCGGGTTCAAACCCAGGCTTGGCCAAAAACTGAAAAAAAAAAAAAAATGAAGAATTATAGAAATTCCAAGTATATTTTTCTTTATTGACTATTATACACTTAATTGCGTGTTTATGAAGTGCCTACTTTGTTGTGGTCACTGCTCTAATTGCTAGGATAGAGCAGTAAACAAAATAGACAAGTTTACTTTCTCAAGGAACTAATATTTTAGCAGAGGGGAGACAGGAAACAAATATGCAAGAAAATATCATGTTAAGTTTTATGAAGAAAGTTAAATAGGCTGATTCAATAGCAGTTAGATAACCACTTTCAATTGGATGGTCAGGAAAGAAGTGATTGGCTACAATCACTTACAGAGTGATCAGTTGCTAAATTTACCATAAAACTGCTGGTGTGAGTGTGTGTGGTTTTAACTATTTATAGGGTTTTCAGCAATTCATAATAAGTTAGGTTTTTTTCTTTTTACTAAGGACATTTTAGAATATTCACAAAGGTGTAGACAATTGAAACCACTTGCATAGTGATCTTTCTTGGTGATGTGGTGGCCCAGCTCTGCTCTCAGCAGAGCAAGGGGGCAGTTTGGGTTTGTCTTCCCTTGGACTGAGTGGCCTGGTGTTGACTGAGGCTGCCTTACCCAAGTGACCAGATGCCATCAATCAAGTCAGTGAAGTAGTTTACTCTGGCTGAGAATCACAATAAAGTTTCAGGGCAGGAATTTTTTTTTTTTTTTTTTTTTTT